ATATATATATATATATTGCACATATATGTGCATATTTTGTACATATATAGATACGTGTGTATTTGCCTATCTGTAGTAATACATAATACGTTTTCTCTTAAGGTTTCAGCAAGTATGCTTCCTCCTGAAGAAGTCCTGCCCATCCCTACTGATCCTATAGCAAAGAAATTTACGGTGTGGATTTTCCATTCAGTTGAATTTGAGTGCTCCGTTAATCTGACTACAGAAGTTCAGTCATCCTTTTTGGTTTCTTATTCTTTTGAACCACAAAATGTAAGTAGCATAATCAGAGAATATTCCGATCTTCAATGCAAAACTTAAATAAAAAGAAAATAGCACTTGAATAACGTTTGAAGGATATTCAAGTTATAACATTTACTTCTAATGGCACCAGGGAGTGAAACATAAAATATACTAGTAAATTAGTGCCCCATATGCTTAGTTACTAAATTGGATATAAAAACATACTTTTTCTTAACAAAGATTCCTATTATTCGAAATCAAAATAGAAAGAGGGCAACAGCAATCTGGAAAATATGCCCCGATAGTTTCTTCAGAAAGGCAATTGGAAGTTTAGACCTCTTAATTTTAATAATTTCATTTTTTGTTCGAATCGCGCCATATTTTTGAAAATGTTAAAATAAATTGTACTTACAATAATAAAATTTGTAATTGCCAGGTAATTACATAAAGAATTATATTTTTTGTATTTTTTTAATATCTTATTACAAAGTATTATGATGGTCTTTTTGCAATATTTTATTAATTGGTTTAGCCAAAGTCAAAAAATTTCGGCATTCAATTTTTTTAAGGAATCTTTACTATTTTAAATGACAAAAATATAAAATTTGAAATTAAAATTGGCGAAAAGTTTTTGAAAAAAATTAAATTTTAGAGTACGATTATTTTTAAATTTTGTTATACCCAGAAGCACTTCGGTCAATGTCTTACTAATTTTGTATTTTGTTATTTAAAATTAGATTGTTTGAAAGGAAGTAAAAATTAGTATACCTCACACTTCAAAGTTGCTTTTGACCATCATGAAATCGAATAATAAAATATTCTTAATAATTCTAAAAACATATATTTGCATGAAATTAACCTTTTCGTAAACAGGCGTCCCTAATATAATATATTTTGTACAAAAAATGCGTATGAAAATTTTTTGATCTTGTTAAATAGCTCTGTTATTGTAAAATACGAAAAGAAAAATCAAATTACTTTTAAGAGCCTGTGATTTAGATTTTTCCTCTGAATTAACTATCGGTATCACATTTTTCAAAGTGCAATTCCTGCCCCTCCCCCCCCTCATTTAAACATTCTAATTCAACTAGAAAAGGCCTGTTTATTTTTATCTGAAAAAGTACGTGCTGTGTCTTAGTTCGTAAAGTATAATATTACCTGCAAAAATTGACTAGCATATTTAAGGTTTAATTAAATTTTACTAAATTAAAATTTAATTAGTACACAAAAAGTCATTCGGTTCCGATTTTCATTTTGCGCATTTGTACAAGATAAAATTGTACTTTAAGTACAGTATTTTCACCCCTTTAAGTTTCATTTTACTCTTAACATTTAAGTAATATTTAACCCTTAAGTTCCTTTTTTTCCGCTATTTTGAACATTTGTGCAAGAAAAGTTTGCTGTTTAAGTGCAGTATTTCCGCCTTTTAAGTTTCCTTTTTTCCTTTGAGAGATCTTTTACCCATAAACTACCTTTCTTTTGTTTTTTTGCAAGAAAATAATTTATATTAGACTCAGGAAGCTTATTTATATTTGTACAATATTGCTTTGTTCTATTCCACTAATCAACTTTGAGATGGTTAGGCGAGATGGTTCATTTTGAGCTAGTATCATCCAAAGCTGTAAGTAATTCAGAGACTCAAGTTATATTTTTCTTTTAATTTAATTCTCTTTGAGTTCCAGAATTTTTCTCTTAAAAACCAGAAAAAAAGACCATTCTACATTCCCCTTCTGTTAGCCAGTCAACATCTGCATGATCTAATAAGCAATTTTATAATTCCTTCTGTATACTCTTTCCAAATTTTTAAAAAAATCAATCCTAATTTTAATTACCAACCCTACTGTAACCACAGGTAAATAAGGCATAACTGAATTTTTTTATTTGCAAGAGTTTTTAAACCGGTATACCTACTGCTTTTTAACAGATTCCTTTAAATAACCTTTTCATTCAAAAATAAATTATTTATTCAATAAATGTGCACAATATTCTGTAATTATCGAATAGAATTTCTTGATACAGATATGGGAAAACTAAGTCTTGAGTTTGATTTCGTAATTTAAAATATTGTCTGCCCAGTTATATTGTTTTAGTGCAGACATTAAATATGTGAAAATTTCATCATGAAGTCAAAAGTTAATTAGCATGTAATGGCTTTTTTTCTATTTTATTTTGCACATTGTACATCAGTATCAAGGCTTTGGTTTTTTGTGGTCCTGATAAGTGAACCAACACCTTTTCAAATTCAAATTATATTTCAAAATTTTTCTCTTAGGAATATTTTAAAAACTTTTGAGAGAGAAAGTGGTTCAAATACAATTATAAAGTAGTATAAATTTAAAAGTATGTAACATTGAAAAACATTATTGTGTACTGTAAGTAAATTATTACTATTGTAATAAGAGAATATCTTTTAAAAAAGATAAAAAGTCACAAATTTTAAAATGTATCACACTTAAATGTACTAATGAGTCCTGCAATTAAACCGATTTGTGCATGCCCAAGACGATCATCCTGTTTGAAACTCTCTAAAAACGGTCCAGCTGTGCATGATCCTTTAGTAAAAATAAATCATATTGCATCAGGAGTTTACATGTTTTTAAGAAACTGTAGATGATTTTATTATCTTGTCATTATTATTTTATTTTAATTGTTGCAGGATACAGTGGAATGTAGATTGAAGGATATTGCTGAAGGCTCTTACTTGGTTCACGTTCAGTTGACCACTGAAGGAGGTGAATCTTTCAATAACAAAGTCTGGTTTCAGGATACAACACCATCTGATTCAGAAGAACAAGTAAGAAAATATGCCTTGCATGTACAGTATTTATTAATGATAAAAATAAATAGACTAATGGCTTAGCACCTGCTTGATCACAGTTCTGTTGAAATCTGGTAAATTTTCGCTTCCCTTAAACTTGACCGAAAAAATTTTCTGGGAAGAGGGAGCATTTTTAGTTTATTTTCTAAAAGAGGGTGCAAATCGTTCAAAATCATAGTTTTTAGAAAAATCAAGACTTTTATCAAACTTTATATAAGAATTATATTTTCCAAAAAAACTTGTTAAGTTGTAGTGCTTCGACTAGCTAATTTGAGTGAAACCATTGCCAAATGTAGCACGTGTTTCGAAGCTAAATAAGAAATCGAAAAGTAAAATAAAAGTGAGAAAATTAAGGGTTGCAAATTAATATTTAAAGGAAAAGAAATCTTATCAAATTTTGACAAATTATTATTGCTAACAACTATAAAGAAAGAAAATAAGAAAGAATTAGAACCCTTCAATTGTATTCCATATTCAAACTGATTGACCTCGATAACGATTTGTCAATTGATTTTCGATCATGATGACGATTGAATTGTGATTTTTGTAAATTTATAAAATGAATTATTAAGTTCCATTTAAAAACGTTAAGGAAATTTAGCTGCTACAGTTTCGAACTCCGTGAAAAAACGTTATGAAAGTACATAAATCGAAACTGCTACAGCAATAATTGCTAAATTATTTTACCGCCGAAGATTTGAACATAAACAATGTTTTTGATTATTATTTTTTTTTATCAGATGCCATATATTATTTATGCCAAGATATCTTATGGAGAGTATCCTGTTCGAGATGCTGATGTTCGAGCAGAAGTTCTCTCGCCAAGTGGTGATAAAGTAATTCTTACATTAGGTGATGATGGCCGCGGAGGTAAGTTTTTTAAGGTTCTGAAATCGAAAGAAATATCAATTGCTTAGTTATAAACAATGCGCAAAGAAAAAAAAGCCTTTAGATTAGTTTATCGTATTTTCACAACCTAAGATTTTAATCTAAATAGTTTTGGGGACAGACATTAACAATGCAAGTTAATAAGTGCAATATCTCTAATCTTGGTAGTTAATTGATTTTGTATCTAAATTCAACAGTATCCCTCTCCTAAAATATCCACAATTACAAGACACATTATAAGAAACTTTATGCTGTGTACTGTGCAAAATACTACTTTTTGGTGTGTATATGTCTTTTGACGTATTTCCTTAACAATTTAAAAACTAATGATGAAATGTAGTGCACAAAATAAAAATGGGGACGCCTTAATAATTTTTGAAATAATAATCGGATTTAGATGTACTTATAATATTTCGTATNAACCAAATTCGTGCTGCCACGCTACCCCCTCGCAATGTGAGGGAATTGCAGGTCCAGTTAGTGATCGCTTGGCACCAGATACCTCAGACTACCTATCAGCCCCTTGTAGAATCAATGCCACGGCGGGTGCTAGCAGTTTTGAAGGCTAAAGGTGATCCTACATGTTATAAGCAGGGTGGTCATAAAGTAATGACTCTTAGGTGTATATCCTTAACAGTTTAAAAACTAGTAATGAAATGTAGTGCGCAAAATTAGAAAGAGAACACCTTAATAATTTCTGTGCTAATAATCGGATTGACGTGAATTGAGATGCATTTATAATATCGTGCACTCTTAATTTATGCAAGCGATATTTTAACTTATGAAATCAGATGCCAGGATGGTGTATTTTCTCTGAATAAGCAACCATTTTTTATTTCCGATGAATTTTGATTTTTGAGACTCTTGTGTTAGATTGCCACAATCTCGAAAATGTGCCGCCAAAATAGTTTAATCAGGTGAGAAGTCGAAACCTCTTTATATATACTTCACTTTTTGCCCTTCTGAATCTGTTTACGGGATTAAAAACGTTTTACTCTGAATTATAAAATTCATATCTCCAAAGATAATTGTATGCAAAGTATAATTTTAAAGTTTATTTATTTACTTATAGATTTTTTAAATTCAAAAAACTTTGAAAAATTTTTTCAATTGTAATGCAAACAAATTTTAAACAACAAAGTACAAAATTTCATCGAAATCAAATAAATTAAAACAATGTGTAATGGTTTCCTTGAAAATATACACGCTGATAAAATTAAAAAAATTAAATACGTTTTTGACTGTAAGTAAAATCATTTTTTTAGTGACTTTTAAAAATTGCGTAAGCTTATTTCACTGATACAGGCAACAAAGTGAAAAGCGTTCTATTTTTCTTATTCAGACATTGCAAAACATTTTAGTGTATTTAACATTATTATACATTTTTTTTATAACCGTCGTTGAACAGCCGACCCAATTTTTGGGTTTACGACTACTAATGTTCAACTACGTGGCCTTGTAATTTTGAACCCAGTTCAGTAATGAAAGGAACTTCTGGATCAAGTATTGGGAGAAATTTGCCTTCGTGGAGGACTTTCGGATGGAACTAACCCGCATTTGCGTTAAATGGAGAGGAAGACCACGAGAACCTCCCACGTTTAGCCTGATGACAAGGGGATTCTAACCCATGATCCGTCTACCACTGAGGATATTTCACGTCAGCACTGTGGTCAGTGCAGGCCGGATGCGGAATTTGTATCGACCAGCCATTGCTGAATCGAAACCAGTTCACCTCGTTGGAAAGTGAACGCTCTATCCCCTGAGCCATCGCGGCTCGTATCTTAACATTAGTAGTCCATAAGGTTCCTCGGCCAGTATGTGCTGGTGCTGGCCTGTGCTTCCTCTCCTGAGGGAGACTGTCGCTGCGACGAGTCTCCCGAATACTTACCCGAATACCCTCATACATGGGGGAAGGGGCGGTAGAATTATTCCAACACCAAAAATGGTGGCATTATTTCTTTACATCAAAAATGGTGTGGTGTAGAACAAATATTAATTCTTGGTGTAATGAAACTCCAAGAGTCTTTCTAAGTATAGTGAAATACATGAAATGTTCCATTACATTCGGTGCTAAGTAGCTTCTATATTTTCGTAACACCGAAATTTGTCATGTCAAAAAGAAATAATTCTCCTACGACTCTGTAAAGTTATTTTCACTACACAGTTTACAATAAGACAATTATTTTAGAAAGCATTCACGAAACAGTCCTTGAAATGAATTTAGCTTGTTAATCAACTATATACACAGCACAGAGGGATAATTAAAACAAATTCAAATTTGTTTTAGCTGAACAAGAGCTGACAGACGAAAGTTAAATTTCATAAAGTTATATAGTTTAACTGGTAAATAGATGTGAATTATCTTGTGAGAACATAAACAACTGAAGCTTTATACGCCTGCCTTTTGCTGCAGCGAGCGAGACAAAGACACTTTCTTGTACTTAATAGTAGATAATTACCATTGTCATCTGATAGTTAAAGAAGCGTAAGCCAAAATTTATATTTTCGGTGACAAATATAATTCATGAATGGTATAAATGCGTGTGAACTTGTTGTTAGCATTTTCAATTATTGGTGTTTGGAATTTATGTATATATATATATATGAACCCTGATGATATGTTGTTAATTTGAAATTAAATATTCGTTTACCCAATTTTTCAACTCCAAATTCGGAGCTGTAGTATACCACAGTTTTAGCGGGATATGAATTTTAACTATGAAGAACTATAATATATACCACTGAATTTATTTTCAAGGTTTTGCTTTGAATTTCCTGGATTATCCTATAAATCATGAAAACATTTTATGAACAAGATACCCATTTTATGCATTTCGGCACAACTTTTTCCCTGTCACAATGTACTTACATGGGCTGTAAGAGTTTCGGAAATAATTTTGCAGTTCTTTTTCTAATTGCTTTTTAATTCTGATGTTAACATTTTCTAATTTTTTAAACCTTGTTTTCTTAAACAATTTTTTTAGTTTCTAAAACAAGAAAAATGTCAGCGAGAGAATTGTCTGAAAAATATAACGAATGATTTATTTTCAAGATTTCTAAAACAAAAAATTTGATAAAAGAGCAAAGTTTAAGAACATCGAAGGCATTAAAAAAACTCCGACATCAGAATTGAAGCGCATTCCGAAATAGAACTCTAAAAGTTGTTTCAAAAACCTTTATTGCATATTACAAAAGTATATTGCGCTTGGCCCATGTAACTTCGAAATGTATAGCAAATTTGTATGTAATTTATATTAGATTTTTACTAGTTATCCTGCACATTAATAGCCATGCGCCGTACTTGAAATGAAACTTGTACTGGAATGAAGGAATGAAACTGTACTGATATCATTGTTTTCCCTTTCTGATTAGATCCTGATGTTACTCAATATGATGGAATATACAGTAAATATTTTACGAAGTTAGATTCTCAGGGTACCTATCAAGTGACAATAACAGCAACAGGAAAAGCAAATGCGAGCAAAAATGGTATGAAATGTTTTACAAATAAGTCAGCTTAAGTTTCTGCTCTAAATTTGACTTAAAGTTTCGAGTATATGATAAAAATAAAGCTTTATTTTTCTCTCCTGTTTCTAAAGTAGACGGAATTATATTATTGAAGCATCCTCGAAAGTGTCCCACAAAACGTAATTTTTGAAAGTGTTTAAATTCCAAATCGTTCGGATGATTTTGTTCTGATTTTTTTTTTAAAATTATTAAATAGCTTTTGCAACGATGAAAGCTAGCAATCAAACTTTCGACAACCTTCTTACTAGTTAGAACACTTAAATCTTTCCTGAAGCTCACGATTTGATGAGATCCCGCAGTTGACTGATCGTTAAGACACGGTTCCCAGCAGATCACCGAAGTCAAGTATCACTGACTGCGGTCAATGTGCGTGTGGGTGACCATTTGGATCAGTCTGCGTAGGGACCGAGGGTGTGCGGTATTGGTCCTCGTTAAACTGTTCTACCGTAAAGTGCTCGACTTCGCGGGTAGGTCGTCGGGCTACTGAAGCGGGGGTGCCATCCCCTCCGCAGAGGATCAAAATTGTGATGGCGTGTCTTTGATCATCCTCAGGGATGTTTCCCAGACCGTCGCCAATAGCCCATTGTGCAGCTCTAGTGCGACGTAAATGACTTACAACAACAACAACACGATTCGATGACAATACAATCTTTAACCGTTTCCACACTGATATAAACATAAATTAATTGTCGATCAAAACTTCTACCGCAATAAAATTAGCTAAATTGATGTGACGACAATATGAGTTTCAATATTTTCCCGACATATACGAATCAAATTTAGCTCTTATCAAAATTTCGACCTATGAAAAACTGACATTATAACTGACCCTTTGCCGAACGGCCTGTGTAGGGGGGCAGGGAACTGTCCTTGCATCAGAAAGGTTCTAGGTTCGAATCCCGGACAAGGTATGGATGTTCTTTCCTTCTCTGTACTATCTTTCCTTACTGTCGGAGCGACGTTGGCCCACCTAATATGGTGCCCCTGTAAGAAAGGTCAACAAAATCGCCCTGTAGATGGCTGAATTGACGAATGTTAACACAGGCGGGCATTAGGTAAAAAAAAAATAACTGCCCCTTTGCTTTATTTCAATGAACAGTTTCAATCGTTTTTTGACTGCTGAAAGCAGAATTTATCTATATATTATCACCAAATTGAAATTAATGTTTAAAAAAAATTAGGATTATCTAAAGCGATAAAATTTCAACTCGATTTCTATGTCTGTTTCAACGGTTTCCATAACCTCTACAGATTGAATTTATTTTCATATTATCACCGAATAGTTTTATTCTTATTTTTCTTAAACATTTTAATAGGATGAAGTGCACTTTTACCGAAATATGTTTTGCTTTTTGGACAATTGTAAAGTTTGTGCTGCAGTTAAAAATAGCCTAATAATTCATTAAGAACCAATACTTCCATGAAGTTTTCTTAAAAAGATAAACACCTGTTGCTCAGTTATTTCGTTCGTGAAATATATTTTAGAGAAACATTACGTTGGCGTCCCCCATAATATATTATTAATACACATGTCTATATTTCGGTTTCTGTAAATGTTTAATCATTTTTTTTATTCATAAAAGTGCTTTTCGCATCGTAACATTTAATTTTCGCAACAGCAGTCCCGAATGGGTTAACAATAGGTCTCAAATTAAAGATAAGCATACGTGTGGCTTTTGTTAAGTTATCAATGTTATTTCAATCTATTAATATGTTACTTAAGCATTTAACTTAATATTCACTTACAATGAAGGGAAAATTTAACTTAATATAAAAGGGTACATAATATTTCCTTATTTTTAAAAAAGTGAGTTTAGGAAATGTTTATGAAAGACGCTAAATTTTCTTTATCCGCAAAAATACTTAGTATTTTGAAAACCGATTTTGCAAAAAATAATAATAATAAATAAACTAATAGAAATTCTTATGTAATCGTAACAGATGATGTTTGCAATTTGTTTAGAAAGGTTAAGAAAAGGATTCAAACTTACCCACTATCCAAAAGAAAATTATTATAAAATATTTCTACTACCCCTATGTTTAAAAGAAATTAAAAAAAAAATATATATATATAAATCTATANTATATATTTAGTTAACATGCGAATTAATGCTATACAAAGGGAAAAAATATTTTCAAAATCTAATGAATCATTATCGAGGTTGATTAGAGAAAAAGATGAATTGAAATAGGGAAGGACAAGCGCAAAGCAGAAACATCCGACAAATAAAAATGGTCTTTTTTTTTAGGGATTCTAAATATTTTCGCTTTACTCTGATCAATCTTGATAATAATTCTGCCGATTTTATAATGTTTTTTAAATGTTCTATCTTTGATTAACGATTTCTACTGTGTATATTTTTTATTTCAATGTTTTTTTCACAAATAATAAGTGTAGTGATTACTGAATAAAAAATAAACATGTTCGCTTTTGTTCATTCTCAGGTCAAGACCTCTGCTGTGGAAGCGCTATTGTAAGTGACTCGTTCGAACTGACTGAGCTTAAATGGACAGAACAGACAAGTTTCACTGTATCTAAAAATAAGAGCAAGGATGGATACAAGCCATCTAGAGTGACTGACCTAAGGGTGGAATCCTTGAATCTGCCAGACAGCCTTACTCTCAAGTGGACAGCACCTGGAGGAGAAATGGATGAAGGAAAAGGTATATCATTTATACATGAACAATCTATTTCAATCTATTGCCAAATACGTTTTTGAATTTCTTGGAAAAAATTATACTTTAAATATTTCTTCAAGTAATCATTACATTAAGCAATTTTCTTCAAAGTTTAACTTTCGTTGTTCCAGCTGATAAAAGCTGGACTAGACCTTTTACCAAAAGTATAACATTGTTTGTTTACAATTTAAACCACAGAAATAGATATGATCTACAATACCTTGACAAAGATTCGAACTACTAAGGAATTTACAAAAATTCCACAGTTTTTTGTTTTGACTACGGAATAACAGAAATATTCTAAAAACTACGTGCAAGTTCAATTTCCCAATTTGTCCAATAATTTTTAAATTACATTTAAAAATTATCTTAACAATTATTTTTTAATTTTTTTTCAAAAAAAAAATTCTTTTGATGGAACAAAAACTTTTTTATTTTCTTGGTAACTAAATTCAAATATTCAATTTACGATGGTCGTGTGTTTGAATGGATCGTTAAGGTAAGTGAGATAATATTTAAAATATTTAAATGTGACATAAAAATTAAGTTAACTTTAGTTGGTTTTACTTTTTTATAAAAAATTTTTTTTCTAAAAAAGAAGAAGAAAAAAAACTCTCACCTCCTTTGAAATCATTTTACGCCTCCATGCTGAAAATAACTGATAAAGATAGATGCTTTACACAGTTTCTTTTCAAGTGATTTGCATAACATCTATTCAACAAAATGTAGGCTTAAAAGTTAACTGATAAAAATTGTTTTTCTCAGTTTTGAGTTAACAAGGCCTTAAATACATAATTTTAATATTTTTGCCAATAACAGTTTGCACTATGAACGTCGCAAATAAATATTTAAGCAATTAATAAAAATGAAATAGTTTCCTAAATATGGCTAACCACTATTAAGGAAATTATGGTGTGACTTGGATGTTTTTAATTGCCTTACTTAAATAATAAAATTTCAAGCCCTAATGAGTGTGTTTTTTATCTTTTTAACGTGCAATCTAAAATCATATATTAAAGGAAGTGCTTAAGAACACCCTACATAAATATCGAGTACACTTTAAGGCATTCTATTTTAATTTTAAAAGCAGCTAACTGATATAAAAAAAATCATACAGTTAAATTTAAGTCAAAGTAACCATTCTGTACATTGGAATAAATCGAACATGGGAAACATGGACCTTTAACATTACAATGTAGCATTTAACAATTTTTCAGTGATTTGAATTTAATTCGAAGAATAAAAAATATATATTTGAATAGCTGTATTACTTTTCTTTTTTCTTTCAGCGAATTCATACGTAATAAAATCATTTACAAATCTTGAAGACATTATATGGAACTTCGACAATACTACAAATACTACACTAGAAATCGATACAAAACTCGCCCCCAAACAATTTGGTCAACCAGAAACATTCGAAGTTAAACTTGATGACTTCAGTGACAATCAAACGTATTTCCTTGCATTGCAATCAAAGCGTGATAATGGACCTTCCAGTGACACTTCCAACATAGTATCTATCATTCTCCCTGTTGACAAGATAGACGAAAAAGTCACACCAGAACCTCCCGCTAAGCAAAGCGGCTTGAAGCCTGAAACTATAGGATTAATTGTGGGACTCATTCTCCTGGCCATTGTGATAGTTATCGTGGTATATTTGGTGGTTTACTTTACGGTCCTCAAACCAAAGCGTAGGGAAGATGGAAAAGAAAGAACATCATCTCAAAGAAGTCATACGAGGCCAACAGGTTTGAATTCCATTCCTGCCGATATCATATTGAAGCATCACAGTGAGGTGGTGAATGCCAAGAGCTTGCACAAAGATCCTCCGATTTTCGACGAGGAGAATGTTGAGATGAAACAGAACGAACCAAGCGAAACGAGTGTCGAGTCGGATAACAATAATAGAAATTACGCCGTCCCAAGTAGAACTTTCCAGGAGGATCCGAAAAAATCGCCAAAAAGAATGACTCAAGTCTAGTAACAAAGGTGTTCTTAAAGTGCTGATGAAATGCGATGGACAATTAAGGAAATAACTTCACTTTAATGGGCAGAATTGTAAACACTAAACTTAAAAACTTCAAAATGATACCACTAACGAGCAATAGGTTTTTTTAAGAAATCACTATAATGTTAGAAATTTCATGAAAATTTAAATAATATGGCGTGTAAAATTTAACTTGGTTTTTATATGGAGAATTTTTTTAAAAAATTTCATTAAGTCTTATATCACACTGTTTCTATATGAAACTCAATTCGTGAAATCTTTCACAACTAGAAGAAACGCTATACTAATTTTTAATATTTTTCGTTAAAAGAAACTATATAAATTTATCACTGGTTATCTTATAGATATCTAAAATGTAACAAGATTATTTTTATATCAAAACGAAAAATCACGTTCAGCTTTATCACTATTTCTTATAAGTCAGTCTTCCTCTATCTCTATTGTTTAAAAGTCAAATTTAAAAAACTTCTTTAGTCTTTGTCTTTTATGAGTTAAAATTTTTAAGCTGTTTTAACTCTGACAGCTTGAGTTAACATTTTCATTTATATTCACATGGTTTGAAAACCTGCACAACCTACATTTTTTTTTTAAGAAAAAAAGACCCCAACTAATTTCAGCTGCTTGCTCAGCAGTTCTGAATAAACACAGTTCCTTACAGCCAGTATGAAAAATCATTGGCCATGCTTAGATAAATATTTTGCCTCCTTTTTAAAATCTTGAAAAATATGCAAGAAATACGTTTTAAAACCCATAATTTTTTAAAAAAATAATAGCTTTAATAAGACTAAGATTTTGATTTCAATATCCTTTCTTTTTATTCTTTACGAACTTATGTCGTCTATGTCTGACATAGGACAGCATTTTTTAGTGATTTATTTCTGTTTCTGTCAAAGTCTACCATTTCCGTTTCCAAAATAATTGGATCAGCAGAGAAAATCATTTTTAAAAATAATGGATGTTAGAGGGTTTAAAGTTGTTTTAAATATTTTTTTATTAGTATGATTGTTTTAGAATAATTATATTTTGTTATCGTCTTGAGACACACGTAAGATTCATGTACCATATTTTCAAACTGTGTGCTCATAAATGCATTTCTTCATTATAAAATTGTTGCTAAGATGAATAAATGTTTTTTTTAATAAAACAGTTGTAATATAATCATTTCACATAGAAATATTGTAATCGAAAAATACGCAATACAATTGAAGAGCTTAGTGTAAGAGCACAATAAGTAACAACATTGACTAAAGCGAAAAACAACGTTAATAAAGCATAGAAGTGGACATAAGACTTGTTTGTAAATTTCTGTACTTAATTTGTACCTTATTCACGCTTTTTTTTTTTTTTTTTTTTTTTTTTTTTTTTTTTTTTTTTTTTTTTTTTTTTNCTACCATTTCCGTTTCCAAAATAATTGGATCAGCAGAGAAAATCATTTTTAAAAATAATGGATGTTAGAGGGTTTAAAGTTGTTTTAAATATTTTTTTATTAGTATGATTGTTTTAGAATAATTCTATTTTGTTATCGTTTTGAGACACACATAAGATTCATGTACCATATTTTCAAATTGTGTGCTCGTAAATGCATTTCTTCATTTATAAAATTGTTGCTAAGATGAATAAATGTTTTTTTTAATAAAACAGTTGTAATATAATCATTTCACATAAAAATACTATAATCGAAAAATACGCAATACAATTGAAGAACTTAGTGTAAGAGCATAATAAGTAACAACATTGACTAAAGCAGAAAAACAACGTCAATAAAGCACAGAAATGGACATAAGACTTGTTTGTAAATATCTGTATTTAATTTGTGCTTCATTCACGTTTTTCTTTTTTGTTTTAGTCTACGTAGTACTAAGTATACCCTAATCTCCTTCTGACTTCAGGGTTTCAAGAATAAATATACAGCATTCATTTGTTCTACTGTTTGTCTAAGATAGGTACTCTGACCGCCACTAAGTCTGCGGCAATCTGGTGCTATGGAAACAAGAAGAGGGCATTTTAGGGAGGGTGGCTTCGATGAAGAGGTCTATTTTTCTTTCGCCGAAACCAGTCCTAAAGAGGGACCCCGCATCCCTACTTGAAATAATCATACCTCGTTACCATAGTCACCGCCACAGCTCCAGACGAATGTCTGGCAGAGTATCTATCGTAGACAAACAGTATGATATCCCTAACTTCCTTCTCAATACATAAACAAGCAGTTCTTTAAACGTTTCCATGAAGTGTTTTTAATTTTTGAAACATATTTTATTCAAATTCAGGAAAATTGCTCTAAAAGGGCTTTTTCACTATTTTTTTTTCAATTCTAACATGTTAATTGCTTCCAATAATTTTCCCTCAATGAGGATGCTTATAGCTTCCTTTTATTTTCAGCATCCAACTATCAGTTCCTTTTGTTTTGCCAACTTCAAGACTGCCGCGATGGTATACTACCGAACTGGATAAGCTTTCCGAACAAAATTGAAAAACCAAAAGACTCTGGAAAAGACGAAGCTGTAAAAGTTGAGTTTTACCAAGGCAAACCAGATAACATTACTGTTTACTTGACACTGAAAACAGAAAATCATAATCACCAATTTAGTGAAGAATCCAATCGCGTTTACATAAAACTCACACCAAATGATCCCCAAGAAACTACAACTTCCATAATTACAGAAGATGACTCCAAGGGATTCCGAGGTCCAACAGCTGGTAGTATCGTTGCATACGTTATCATTGGCTTAGCTATTTTAATGCTAATTTGTGGGATCGTTTATTTTCTGTTGGACAGGACCAGGCGTGGCAGAGCTTTGGAAGAGTTGAACACTCCAGCAGCTTTTATGAGCGTAGATAGTAGTGGAGAGATTTTCTCTTTTAAGAACGTAGCGCCACCTGCTGAAAATCCCATCAGGCGAGCAGAATCTATTCCGGTTGTGCTTTACACTCATGATCAAATAAAAGACTTCAAAAATAAAACAAAGCAGCCTCCTCTCTACCGATCAGATGTAGAACCTAAACCATGGGTCAGCCTGAACGCTTTAACGGATAGGAATGGAAGTTCAAGTAGTAACAGTACAATAAATGTTGGGGATGGTAAGACTCAATCAGGTGAAATCAGACAGTTAAATGATATGACAACAATACCACTCCGTGACAAAAATTCTAGGTTTTAAACAAAAACAATAAATGCAGAGGTGCTCTCTATTATTAAATTATGATGACAGTAATGATTTAGGAGCAAGTATTGAAGATAGAACACTGAATTTGAGATAAAATGAATAATAATGGTTTATGATCAGGGAATAATAATGATTAAAACCGAAATATGTGAGAAAAAAAACTGTGAAGAGAAGAAATTAAGCTTCCTAGGCTGACTTTAACTAGAATGAAATTTGAAAAATGTTAGATGATCTGAATGTGGATTGGTTGATCAATGTTGATTCTTCTTTTTTTTTTGTAAAAATTTTGTTTGTAGTAAATTATCTAGTTAAAAAATTTTTAAATTGGAATCTTTTCACATTTTACATGAGTTTTGTTAGAAATTAATTGACGCAAAAATAGAATGATGAAGATGTAAAAATTTTTTAAAAGGGGCATTTACAATTTATCATGCTTTTCCCGAAAGATTTTCATATCAGTACTAGAGACTGCCAAGCTTTGGATGATAATTAGAAAAACGGGCATTAATATGAAGGGTATAACTCTTTGAATAAGAATTACACATTTAAAAAAAAAAAAATTAAGTTTGGCTCGAACAATTACCAATATGCAAATATACCCCTCCATCCATTTTTTTTTACCAGTAATTTAAGAAATATATATAAACATTAAGCCATTCTATTTTAAACTAGTAATAATATAAATTTACTCAAAAATAATTTAAATATAATTTAAATAAAATTTAAATGAAGTTGTGTGTTTACAGAGCAGCACTTCATCAGGGGACACACTGTCTGTAAACACACAGGAGCCTTTCTGTTGTTAGTGGCAAAGCCAAAACTAACAGTGCCCCGAGGCCCCTAATGAAAAT